TTGCTATTGCTATTGCTATTGCGTGTCATTTGGTTACAAGTGTTTTTGCATCCATGTTCTCAGTTACATTTACAATCACAGATTTTTCATCTAATATAACTAAATACCTCCCTTTCATTGTACAATGTGTATTCAATTACAATTAATATTGACTATACTCAAAATAAATACCGGACTAAGAAATTCCAGATAGTTTATGACTGAAGAAATAAGGAATGATATAATCTGTTTAGAGCTAGCCTAGCAAAGAGGAGTTAAAGCTCAAATTAAAGATAATACTAACTTTCTTTAAGTTTATTTTAGAATATCTTTGTTAAAGATTTATACCCTGTATTGGTTCTGGGAAGTGGGGCGGGGGGAGGGTTGGATGGGGAGGGTAGGGGGAGGGAGGTAATATTTGTAAAAGTTTTTTTACAAAATTTTCAATAAAAAAATCAAACTTTCAATCTGCTTTTCTTTAAAAACGAAGAAAAGTGAAAAGCTTTTTTATTTCTTAAAATACAGTACTTCAAAACAGTGAATTCATTACAGTATAGTAGCAAATTATAAACTGATGGGTTGTGTGGAAAGGGGAGTTTCTGCCGATGCTATGATCAGGCTTATAAAAATTATGAAAGTTGTACATCTTTTGATCTCAATCAATCTGTTATTGGTATTATTTTTGAAAAGGCCCGAATGCTTGATCCAACAACCATAAAGTTGGTATCAAATTATAATTCCTTAGAATTCACTAAGAAGGGGGGAAAAACACCTGACACCATTTCCAAATTAAAGAAATCCATCCTGAAGGGACTAAAATAAAAAAAATGTTTTTCAAACTTAGCCAAGTTTAAGATGAGTGAACTTCAATTCCCAGAATTCCCCAGCCAGCCATGCAGACTTGGAGAATTCTGGGAGTTGAAGTCCACACATTGAGTTTGAAAAATTGGGACAATTTTCTGAAACTCCGGGTGTTGCTAGCTTACAACTCCCACCATCTGCAGGGAATACGGATTTGCACTGAAATTGCACTGGAGACATTTGGGTTCCCTCCAGTTCTCGAACCCGACATTAGAAGAAGCAACAACGGGGCTTCGTTTTCTCTTTGCAATATTTCTCGCATGCCAAAAAAAAGAGAGAGACCCAATTAAAGAAGCTGTAGAAATCTAGCAAGTCACTAATCAATAAGCAAAAGATGGGAAGGCGCATCCAGACGTGACCTTGGGCGCGTTGCTCCTTACCTGCCCGTCGACATTAAACCAACAGACGGCCATTCCAGCTGCACCTCCGACTATCCTTTTTCGAATAAGCCGCGCTGCTTCTTATTGGTTGAGAGGATAGATGACGTCACGCGCGGCTCCGAAAGCGGGGAAGACCTGACGCGGTCAAAGAATCGCTGCTGCTCGGGCGCTACAGCGACACCTCTGGTTGGAAAGCGAAGTGCTTAAGAGTCCCTTGGAAGATAACATAACATGTAATTCCTAGGACAATAGTTAGCAATAGTTAGATTATATACCGCTTCATAGGGCTTTCAGTCCTCTCTAAGCGGTTTACAGAGTCAGCGTATTGCCCCCAACAACAATCTGGGTCCTCATTTTACCCACCTCGGAAGGATGGAAGGCTGAGTCAACCTTGAGCCGGTGAGATTAGCAATAGCAATAGCAGTTAG